TAAGACATTCTTTTTTCGCTTCTCTGGATTCTGTTTATCCATGCGTTCTCCCTTCGTTTGAAGGTAATGCTGCGGGTAAGGGCTTACCTCCAATGACATGCCCATGTTAAAATAAGGCCTTCTTGAAGCGAAAGGGTAAGCGATTCCCATCGCCTAACTCGTTTCCACTTTCGTTTCTGTGGTAATCGTGTTTTTTGCTGGGTTGGTTCATCAAAAGCATAAATTTGTGTTTTGCGTTGCTGTTTCATTTGGATGAGCGTGTGCGTCATTTATCATTTTATTGCAAATATTTATTTTAAATACAAGCGCAAAAATGAACCAAAAAAGAATTAGTATAAAAGCTAAAATATTAATCTTAATAAAAAATTCAATAACTTTATAAAATGAATAATGCAAGTTTTGCAAATTAGTAGCGGTTATAATTTTATTAATCATAATTAAATGGCTGTGCAATTTTTAATCTAATTTGTATCGCTTTTGAACGGACAATATGTAGTGCAATTGTGCCACAAAACATCAGGTTAGGTTATAATTTTAGTAGAAAATGGAACTAGTTAAGTATATACATACATATTTTTAGAGAAAGAGATTATTTTTAAAAGCTACTTACTTTACTGACGCTTTATGTAGGAGGTGTCTTTATTTATCTGCAAGATGTTACCTTCAAGGAATTCTCAACAGTTGATATCAATTATTGCTCCGAGACACCCACTATTGAGCGAAATGCTATCGAAGTTGAGTTCAACTAAATGAGTATCATTTGACCACACAGGTTGATGAAGGAGAAAGAAATTTAGCAATCAAATATGCAAGAAAAAATCCTTGGATAATTAAGCCTTCAACTAAATTACTGGGAATATTTCCTACAACAAAGAAAGCCTGATCGACTTCGTAGCGGAAGACGGATGGAGGTAGTTAGTAACCTTAGACACTACACTGAGGGGAAAAATATTAAAATATATCAGAAACGTAATTGATCTTACTATAAACGCCAACGAAAGTTCTGTATATTGGTAAAAATTCAATTCAATTACTCGCATATTAAAATGACCGCGTTAGTTCTGAAAAAAGCATCCGTGAAGTGTATAATCAAGATAAAAACCAACAAAAAAAAACACATTGAATTTGCATATTACCTGCAGTGGCATTCGAACCCTGACCCTCTGTGGATATCAATAAATTGTGGCAAGCATCTTTGCGCACTCAGCTCTGCATGCTTTCCTGTCTCGGAATAGACTTAGAGCACACCTCAAACTAGACTTAACGTGATTGTAAGTAGTCCAAAGTTTGGCCCAAAAACGTGTAAAATTCTATTTACATTTAACATTGAATGTCCTTTTTCGCAATTATAATTATCAACTGTAACGTGGGTGCCAAGGCGCGAATGTGCTGACTGTTTATTTGATGACAGGAGATACTTCGTCTTGTCCTCGTTTACCACCAGACCCATTCGCTTTGCTTCCTCATCCAACTTGGAAAAGGCACAACAGACTTCGCGGTCTGAAACCCCGTTTGGTGGCGAACGGCTCGGAGAGGTCTTTCCCAGTTCTGACGGAGATGGTGGTACTGCTCAACGTCATTTTACACAGCCGTATCAGTTTGGCGGGGATGCCAAATTAAGACATAGTGGCGTATAGGCAACTCCTTTCAGTGCTGTCGAATGCACGAGAAGTAGACAAATAGGTGGTGAGTGTCGATTCTTTTCTCGCGGGTCTTCTTCAAGATTTGGCGTATTATGAACACCTGGTCTATGGTAGATTTTCCAGGCCTAAAGCCACACTGATAAGGCCCAATCAGTTCATTGACGGTGGGCTTCAGTCTTTCACACAATATGACTTTATATGTGCTTAGAAGGCTGATCCCGCGGTAGTTGGCGCGAATGGCGGGGTCGCCTTTCTTGTCGATTGGGCAGAGCGTACTTAAACTCCAGTCGTCGGGCATGCGTTCATCGGACCATATTCTGCTTAAGAGTTGATGCATGCACCTTATCATTTCAAACTCTTCGCATTCACGTATTTCGGCCTCTTCTTATTGCGGCAAATACGATTCCCTCTACAGATCCCTATAGCGGTCCCACATAGCACGCGTTGCGCCCGATTGCGGCGTAGCCCTGTAGGCTTCTTGACACTCCTCATCGTACCAGTTGTTCTTTCGGGCTCGCTGAAATCCGACTACTTCTTCGGCGGCGGTACTTAATGAGCGGGAAATGTGCACATTTTCTTCTGCACGGAGGCGGGTGCGTATCTTGGCTGCAATGTGATAGTGGTCCTAGTCGATTTTTGGGCCTCGGAGTGTACGTACGTCCAAAACACTGGAAGCATGCCTTCCGTATCTCACAAAGGGGTCGACTTGGTTTCTCGTTTTCCGATCCGGAGACAGCCACGTAGCTTGATGAATATTTTTATGATTGAACCTAGTACTGCATACTACTATGTTTCGAGCCCCCGGCGAAATCGATCAGCCTCAGTCCGTTGTCCGTTGAAGTCGCCAAGCACGATTTTGATATTGTGGCGGGGGCAGCGCTCGTACGTGCGCTTCAAGCGCTCGTAGAAGAGATCCTTGGATACCTCCTCCTTCTCTTCTGTCGGGGCACTGGTGGAGATGAGCGAGATGTTGAAGAATCTCTCTTTGATGCGGATTATGGCTAGGCGCTCGTTCACCGGGGTGAACGACAGTAATCGGTGACGGAGTCTCTCTCCCACCACAAATCCAATATCGAATTTGTGCTCCTTTATATGACAGCTATAGTATACGTCGAAAGGCCCCAGGCATTGCTTGCCTTGCCCCGTACAATGAATTTCTTGGATGGCGGTGATGTCTGCTTTTGTTCTTTTGAGGACATTAACCAGCCGGGCAGAGGTACCTTCCCCATTAAGGGTCCGGACATTCCAGGTGCATGCCCTCAAATCGTAGTCCTTTAAGCATTTGCCGCGGTCTTCATAACTAGGGGCGGGTCTCATCCGAGGCATTGCTTCGCTTCGGGGGTGGTTTCACAACCAAATACACGATTATATAGCGAGCCGCTTGCTCCAAGACAGACACCCGCATGCAGCCGCACCTACAGGTCAACATACGCGGCTTACTTCAGTGGGCCCTTAAACCGAATGAGTCGGAGTGGCCCCACTGAAGTTCCCTCTCTTTCTGTCGTGACCCACGGCTCCACTCGGATTGGTTACCGCATCTCGCATATGGGTTGCTCACGTTGCCCAGAGTGCGCGAACGAGGACGCAAGGGTCGGGATTTAGTATAGCCGTGCAACTGTAACTGCATACCCAGCACAACGAATATGCCCCATTGCACTCCAACTAACTTGAATGAACCTTTTTAAAAGGGCGTAACGCTTTTCGAAAAATTAAAACCTTCATTTTTGAAAATCGAACGAGGGGCGGATCTGATGACCTTGAAAAAAAAATTCCTTCGCGTATTATATATGTACTAGTGAACCTGTATGGCGTTAAAACGCCCAAAATTTGAACTCAGAAACTGAGTGATCCGAGTGCCAATTTCATCTTAATCCGTGCAGCCGTTTTTGAGTGAAGGGAGGTCCCACATAATGTCGGTTTTCAATATCATCAAATTCCGAACCACCCTCCAGCGATAAAAAGGGTCTACCCTCGACCTCTCATATTTAAAGTTCGAAATAACGGTGCAAATCTAATAACATTCATATTTTAATATTGCATAAATTTGCGTCTATGTTAACTAAATTCGACTATTCAAATGTTCAAACTACAGATTTCTTAACACTATTTCGCTTGACACCCGTATTTTCATATTTTAAATACATACTTTGCACATGAGCTAATTAAATTTGACATTTGAAACAGGTGGCAACCCTCTTCAGAAGTAGTTTAAAGCTAAAACCTTCTTAAATTACCTTCGTTTGGCACTAGGATATTTATTTTAATTGAATTAAGTTGAATTTGATGTTTTCAACATGTGGCAACCCTCTAAATATAGTTCAGAAATAAAACCTTGTAAAACTATTTCGATTTAAGCCGATGTTTTAATGATTCATTAAATTTATTAAATTGGGATTTTATTCTTTAAATACCTCAAAAATGTTCATAGTGTTAAAACTAAGGATTTCTTACCACTCTTTTGTTTCGCTTGATTTAATATTTCGTTGTGTAGGTATCTATATGTTAACCGATTTCGACTATTCAAACAGGTGGCAACTCTCCGAAAAATATTTAAAAACTTTTACCTTAAACTCTTTTCGTCTGGCGCCAATATTTTGATACATATTGGAATTACTTAATTCCCTTAATTCAAATTGAATTTAGTTTTTTTTTAAAGGTGACACCCTCCTACCGTAAAGTTAAGAGAAAACCCTTTCCATTGACACCCATTTTGTAAGAATTGGTTTAACCTTTTAACTTATATATTTAAAAGGTGGCAACTCTTTACCTCATTTTTTAACAGATAATGAACGGTGCAGATTTGATGACCTGAAAAAAATCCCTTCGCTTATTATATATATAGATATAGATTTTTGACTCTCACAAAAAGAACCATCTCTTCATAAAAAAAATATATTTGAAATTTTGGAAACATGTTTTTTATAGAGAATTAAACAAGGATTAGGATGTTGTTATATTAAATCCAGGTCTTCACTATGCAAATGAACTTCAAATAGTTCAACAGTTAATAGCTAAGTTAACTTTAAGACTATTATGATCATTTTATATATAAACATGTTAAGCCCGTTTCCTTAGCTTTAGAACGACGTTAAGATGAAGTCTCTACGATGAGCAGAGCCCGATTTTAAGAAGCACATGATTAGTCAGAACCACGAAAAATTCCAAACATTGACAGATCATATCTCCGAAGAAGAAAAAAAAAGATTCCTCGAATACTTAACTATTTCGTGTATAGAGCCCATAGAAAACAATTTTAAGCCAATCGAAAGTGTGAACCCAAATATGGTGCCCGATATGAAAAAGAATGCCCCATATACATATATAAATGAATGTTCATATGTAGGGATCTCTACTCACCGGCTGTGGCGGCTGGCAATTGTATACGCTCCAGCAGACAGAATGCGCAGCAAATCCAAATGCATATAATTCGCAGGAATTTCAACATGTTGCTAATGTTCGAGGTTCACTTCACACAGCGTTGGAAGACAAAGCCACATACAAACAAAACAGAGAAGCTGAATGTTTTTTTTCTTTTAATCTTTTTACGCTGCGCAGTAGTATTTCCCGGTTATTATTGCAATGCCAGGGTGGTCTATTCTGCCTTTTTTGGTGTATCCTTTTAGTCACCGTTTTCACCGTTTGCCTTGTTTCTTTTATTATTGTTTGCACTTATGTGTGTATGTATATATGTAGCTGCACTTTTTTTTTCTGCAGTTAGTTACACATGTATTTCGGTTTTATAATGACAGCTCTTTTGAATTTGCATGCGTTTGCTTAAGCTTGTATTTGTTTTACGCTTTTGTTATTGTTGCTTTCTACTGGAATAGCCGTCTTGTTAGTAGGTGGTGAATGACATTTTTACATGGTTGTTTTAAAATGAATTTTCACACTTTTTCACACTTGTTAGCAATGCTTTTTTCTACTTTGCGCTTATTTTCTTTTATTTTTTTTTACATACGAACAGTTTTTCTGTTTCTTTATTGTTTATGTATGTATGTATTTCGTTTTACGCTACTGCTCTTGAAACTGTCGTTTTAGCAGCTATTTTTTCACTCTTGCCTTTTGTATTCACAGTTATACGCTATAAGTTTCTTTTATCAGTCCTTAGACCAAAGTTTGCTTTTGCCTTTTTTTATTGTTAGAGATTTGTATCGTCGCTTTTTTGTTGCGTTTCACCAATACATGAGAAAATAAAGAAAAATCTTAGAATAGCACGTTCTTCCGCCTGCTTTGTTATTCAAAGGCTATTTCACAATTTTTTTTGAAGTTCACTGACTTTTCTTTGTGAAAAGTTTTCTGCTTTTATGAGTCACTACAAAATACATGTTATTTGCAAAGAGCCGTATAAGTACATACATATGTACATACATATGTACATATACTGGTGGCAGAAGTAATAGACTCGCCTTATTTTGAACAGTTTTGGCTATATTTCTTTGGTTTATTTAATGTTCAATATATTTTTGTATAAAAATATAGCTAGCTATACAACAAACACCATATAAATCCACACATTAGACTTAATTAAAAATTATTAAAATTCAAAATATTTTCACCAAAATTAACAAACAACAAGTAAGAAAGTCTAAGTTCGGGCGGAGCCGAACATTAAATACCCGGCGCAAGTATTAAATATATGTTTTCCACCTTTCCGAAAGCTACCGCTACATGATAAGCCGGGGTGTATACATTTTAAGTAAATTAGCGTCCTTAAATTTCGAAATATTGAAATTTCAAGCATTTCTGAAATTTACCGTTATATGAAAAGCGGCCTCAATTTTAGTCCGATTTCAACAATTTTCAACGGTTTGCTTTTATGTGGCAAGCACAATAACCATACCGAGCTTGGTAGAAATTGCTAGAACGGTTAACGAGATACATATATGTGATCACAAGTGGGCGGTGCTACGCCCATTTTCCAAAATTTTGTCATAAACGTATTTCTTGGTAAAGAATTGTTGCAACCATCAATTTTGAATAAATTAACTTCAATATTTACTGATTTATCGAAGATTTTGTATTTCTCGAAAATACCGTTATATGGGATGTGGGCGTGGTTATTGTCCGATTTTAGAAATTTTCGGCCATTTGGTATGCTGTACCAGGACCAACAACTGTGCCAAGTTTGGAAGACATTGGTGTAGCGGCTACCAAGATATACACATGTAACCATAAGTGGGCGTGGCTACGCCCGTTTGCCAAAATTTTGTAATATTCTTATTTTTCGTCTAAAACTCATTGCAAATATCAATTTTGAGTGAATTATCTTCAGTAGTTACTAAAATATCGCAGTTTTCGTTTTTCTGAAAATTACCGTTATATGGGAGGTAGGCGTGGTTATTGTCCGATTTTTAAAATTTTCAGCCATTTAGTATGCTGTACTAAGGCCAACAACTGTGCCAAGTTTGGAAGAAATTGGTGCAGCGGTTACCAAGATATACACATGTAACCATAAGTGGGCGTGGCTACGACCATTTTCCAAAAATTTATAATATTCATGTTTTCCGTCTGAAACTCTTTGTAAGTATCAATTTTGAGTGAATTATCTTCAGTAGTTACTAAAATATCGCAGTTTTCGTATTTCTTAAAATTACCGTTATATGGGAGGTAGGCGTGGTTATTATCCGATTTCGCCCATTTTCAAGACCATCCGTCCCACGCCCAAAAGAAGTTCACGTACCAAGTTTCGTTAAGATATCTCAATTTTTACTCGAGTTATCTATCGTGTGCACAGACGGACGGACGGACGGACGGACGGACGGACGGACGGACGGACGGACAGACAGTCACCGCTTAATCGATTTCTCTTTTCATTCTGATCATTTATGTATACATTTGTCTATATCTATCTCGATTCGTTTTGCCTGTTACAAACAACCGTTATGTGAACAAAGTTATAATACCCTTGTGCACAAGTGCGCTCGGGTATAAAAATTATTAAAAATCAACGGAATTTAGAGCCACTAAAAATTTGTATATTTATAATAAAATTGAATGGGCTATCAAATTGAATACCAAAAATTTTTCTAAACATGCCTTATAAAACGTTTGAAATTTTAATGAAAATTTGTTGACTTTTGCCGCCGAAAATATTATCGCGTAACGTTATTCGTACATATTTAGTTAAAGGTCACTACAGCATGTGCAAAGTTACGTTGTAAAACGCAACCCGCCAACGTACGACTGTATGTACATATGTATATATAGTTGACAAGTCGAGAAAACCAATAAACTTGGGCGAGGTAGTTGAGGCAACGCTGGAAGAACTCATGGATGCAGGCAAACTTCCTGGAGCACCAGGTTCTTACCGGTCCATATGCCTATTGGATAGTATCGAAAAGCTGCTAGAACGCATTATACACAGCATATTCCAGGCATTCATCGAACGTGAAAGAGGACTACTACCAAACCAGTATGGTTTTCGCAAACGGAAGTCGACAACGGAAGCAATAACTAGACTAGTATTGACAGTAATAGAAGCGATCGACGAAAAGCGTTGAAGAGAAGCAATTGTGACACTGGATATAAAAAATGCATTCAACTAGGCAAAATGGGGACACATTTTAACTGCTCACGACAGGCATTCCGTCCCGGGTTATATAAATAATATTATAAAAAGCTACCTCGATAATAGAATTCTGGAATACTCCACTGAGGTGGGGAAAATAAAGTGCAAAGTAACAGCGGGAGTGCCTCAGCAACCAGTGCTCGAACCAACATTGTGGAGCATAATGTACGATGGCGAGCTAAGGCCGAGGCTACGCAGGGAGCGGCTGAGCGGAATTCTTACCTGAGCGGCGCCGCCCAACCATTAAGAAATGCCGCTCATTGTGTGGCCAGTTCAATAGTAAATATATCATATTTATGTTTTAATTTTAAGCCGCTCAGCTTCTCAATTGGTTCGCCGACGACATAGCGCTGATTGTGGTGGATAAACTGCTGACACATTTAGAAGCAAAAGCGAACGCGGAAACAGAGCTGATCATCGAGTGGATGTAGAGTGGTGGCTTATCCATTTCTCTGGAGAAAACATAAGTTGTCCTAGTTAGTAGCCGTAAAAAGCCAAAGGTAGCCTGTTTTAAGATAGATAGTTCTGAAATCAAATCCACACGGCAACTTAAATATCTTGGCGTTAAAATCGAAGACAGGATAAGCGTCTTCCAAGCCAAACTAGCAACCATACAGCAGGCTATCAAGTGTTTAAGGACAGTAGCCATCGGAAGCAATCATATTTACAAATATATTTCCCGACAGTCAGTTAGCTGTAAAAGCAATGAATTCTTCACCTTGGAAACTCTAGTGAATTCAAGCTAAATGCTCAATTAACGCAATGGAAACTCAGTTTAACTTTCATCTGGGCCCTATTGCACCAACGAATTATCATTAGCATTTTAGCAGATTATCGAACTTACGCAAAGTTTTGTGTTTTACCAACATGATAAGGAAAAGTCACTCAAATGAGTGTTGATAAGTAAAATATCACTCAAAATCATAGATAAGCGTTGCACCAAAATTTGAAATGCTTGGCGAAAAGGCTTTAGCGGATAAGTGATAAGTTATGCAAATTATCAAAATTTATTAGCATTTCGTTGCACCAAAAATTTGTATATATCACTTATCATCTTTCATTTTGCTAACTTTAGCATTATTTTGCTAAAAGTAATTTTACCTATCATACAAGTGATAAGTTACATTTATTCAGTCTGAATGAATTTATTTATTTATTTATTGTAAAAGGATAATACAACTATACCTTAACAATCTAAAACTTAAGCTCTAACACGTGATTCGATAAAATATTGACACAAAAAATGCTTCGATTCGAACTATTAAATTTATTAGAGGAGGAAAATCTGCAAATAATAAAAGGCGTGTCATAAAAGAACAAATCAGCTACAGTATAGATTTTGATTTAGTAGACAAATTTCGGCTATCTCGTAGCCAAATTGAAGAAATTTTATTAAAAATAGGAGCGGACCTACAATATAACAGTGGGTGTAATAATGGCTTAAGTCCGCTACAGCAATTATTATTGACTCTGCACTAATTAGGTAATGGTAGCCAACATCATGGAATTGGTCAAATGCATGGGGTTCACAAATTAGCGTTATGTACAATAATCCATCGAGTGGCAAATGCCCTGATAAACAAATTGATGGATGAAACTATTTGTTGGCGGGAATTTACGAAAAATATTGCCACAAAATTTTTCAACATTGGTGAATTTCCTTAAGACGCAGGGAGCATTGATGGAACTATGATTTGTTAACCGGTACGGAAATCATTTAATTAATGCAATGTGGTTTTTGTGTTTTTGTTACTGAGTTATTTTGGAAAGATCCAAATAAATAATCCTTAATTTAGAAAAATTTAATTATTTATGTAAACATACATAGTCAATACGGACTTGCTTTTTTCCTTAATAATTTTTAAGACAGCTAATATATTGGCTGCGCTTTGTGCGCGCGACATAGTAAGAAAAAAAAGATAAATTGAAAATGTTTATCAAATCGCACATGGGTTTGCTAAGCTTTCGTTTTCCATTGAGAAACGGTAATCATTTTAGCTAAGCACATTATTGGAAAAGTTCTCTATTTGAAAAGCAAAAGAAATTGGCTGTGCAATGGTTATCAAATCGACTTATCCAAAAAACATGCCAGTTATTAATTTTTTTTTAAATTGATAAGTTTTTTATGATAAGTAAAAAGTGAAACACTTATCAACTTTACTTTTCAATAAAAAGGCTTATCTAAAAGTTGTAAAGTGATAAATGATAAGTCATTGGTGCAATTGGGCCCTGGTGCTTGTATCGGGATATAGTGGTATGCCAAGCAATTAGATGACGGACCAGATCACAAAGAAGTGCATTTCCCTTATACTTTCGCCATCTTGGAAGAGGCTGGACATGCCGCCTACTACCTAATTGTCCTTCTGAGAAGCAGACGCAAGATGGAAGCAACTAGAATTCTGTCACATGACAAAACTAGAATGGGATTTGAAACTTTAGATGAAGCTTCCTATGATGAGCACAGGATAAATCTCTTTGGGTATGGGTCTCATGACCGGTCACAATACTCTTGGGAGGGATACCAGGATACCCGAGGTGCCGTTCCTTGACTTGGAGCTGGATTAACATTTTCTTTTAAATAAAATTGTGTTAAAACTCGTAAAATTTAGCTTGCGTGTCTCGGCGATTGTTTGTGTCATTTTAGCGTGCAATTTTTTAAACTGGCTTTGCAGTACACATAGACCAAACTACTATATATATAATACCTTATTAATTACTTATCCCTAATATAAAACTAATA